ACTTAGTATAAGTTCTAAAAATTATATATCAAGAATATTCAATTATATCAATCAAACATACTTGTTATCAGTGTTTTAAAAGACAACTTTGGGACTCAGTTCGAGGAGGGACATTGGCAAAAATGTCTCAAGGCACACGTGTGAGACTTAGTTATGTAAATCATACGTCCTACTATAAGCTCTAAATATGCTTAACACCTAACGGTCAGTGTTCGCTAGTAGATATTTCCTAAGATATTTGTTCAAATTCTTTTGTTAATAGTGTTGATCCTCAAACTTTTTAATAAATGAATGATGCTTAATAGTTTCTTTTCGTTTAAAGAAATAAGAAGTTTGAGCACTCAAATAACAAGTTGTAGTATTGCATATTTACTATTTATGAATATTATGAGATCCGAATTAATATCACTTAACATTTCTTTTAAAATGCATAGCCAAATTTACATCTTTATTTATCAATAGTCTTCATATTTTTGTCATATATCTCAAAAATATCATATTTTATTAATTAGCTATTTAAAAGCAATTTTATATTTATTCGCGATTTAGTGATAATACTAATAAATTTTGATTATTGAGACAGGGGGACTAGTTATATATCATGGCACTCATTAAATAGTAGCGAGTAGTAATTATTTCCTCCGTTTCAAATTAAAATATTTATCGTGTTTTTCATTTACACATTTCTTAATAAAACATTAATTAAAAGAGGTGCTTGACTCTTTTCTTCTTATTTATGCCTTAAGATATACTAATCTCTCTTTATTAAATATTTATTCTATTTATATGTCATAATTAAGATATTAATAGTCTTTAAGAATAATTACTACTAAAAACAAAATTTTAAAAAGAATTAATTAATTTTGTCTTGAACTTATAAAATAACAAATACTTCCTCAGTCCATTTATTATAGAATTAACTTGGCACAAACCTTTAATTACCAATACATAAAATAATAAGATAGATCTATAAAAGCAAGAGTAATAACTCTAGAGACTTAGTTCTATAAATTATTTATCGAATTTATTTCGAATAAATAGACATTAAAATATGGATCATGAATATATAGTGACATAGTATAATCCTAAATCCTATAAAATGATAGAGCTCCCTTAATATCTCACATCACTTTTTTGTCTTCAATCTCTATTATCGATTTATTTGCTAATATTATATAGCTGTTAGCTAATATCATCTTGTACCATTGATTAGTGATTATTTTTTTTATCACTTGGTAAGGTATATAAAAATAATATTATATTAGTAATACTTATAATATTAACTATTTGTATTAGTTTTATTTACATTAATTATATCTTTAATTATATATAGATTATTTCTTATACATTATTTGATTTGATATATTAAAAATAAGGGAAAATTATGTGTATAAGCAAACATATACTAGTTAATTAGTTAACATAGCTATAGTTTGCCTTAATTACAATTTGCGGCCTACTTTTAGCTATAATTACGTGGCTCAGCTTTTTCGTTTTGTATAATTCGAAATTTGTATAATATAATTTGTATAACTTTTGTATAATTCGGAATTTGTGTAATATAATTTGTATAATTGTTTACATTTATGATGTTTGTAATTGTATAAATTTGTTATTTCGAGTTTATACAAAAATGACAGAATTATACACATGTACCCGCGAATTATACAAACGAGACAGCTTAAACTGTAGTTACAGCCCATAAATATGCAAACTATAGCTATGAAGCATAATTAAATTTATTATAGTGGTTGTTTGCGAAAGTTCCCCAAAAAATATAATACATTGTATAAGAATATTTATTTATAAAAAATATCCTCCGATCCACAGTTATGATGAAAAAATGTTGGGGAAATTTTGAGGGGTAATTGTGCCTTTAACCATGTTAATGCATGCATTAAATCTCTTTACATTACTAATACCCAAAAATTCATGGACCGGAATTAGTAATACACTTCTCGATACATAATAAAGTATATAACTAATGAACATAACATAAAAAAAAAAATAATAAACAAATTACTACGTACTAATACGCAAAATTATACATACTTTAATTTTGTTAATACACTCAACCAAATGACCCGTTAATTAGTTTCTTGGTACTTTATGGATAAAACCTTTTAACGTCCTCTAAAATAAATCAATTTTATTTTAATAACTTCTAAAAATAAATTTTATAAGTAATAAATAATTCAAGAGTATTTAGTCTAAAATTAATTTTTTAAAATTAAAAAAATGTCATGTTTCTTTCAAAAATTACGTTACATGTATTCTTTACCCTCCCAATCTAATCCAAATGAAAACAACTTAATTCCTCTTTTTCTCAGACCTCAGTCATGAAATAAGTTTGGGTCAGATTTGAATAAAAGAGGGATTGTGTTTTTTTTAAGTTGGGTTTAGTCTGAATGGATAAAGAAAATATGTGCGGTAATATTTAATAATATTTTTTAAATTAAAAAATTGATTTCAGGATATATTTTTTATTCAATCTATTAACAAAAAAGATAAATTAATATGCATAATTTGTTAAACGATGAGTGTAAATATGCACTATTTGTTAAACGACGATGATATACACAATAGCAGTGTCAAAATTTTCACTAAGAAAATTCAAAATATGCTAAAATAAACACATAAAAAAGCTGAAAAGTAAACATTATTTATATATATATATATATATATATATATATATATAATTTAATTATATATAAACTATATACTATATATTATTTAATTATATATAAACATTATAATTTTTCACCTAAAGATATTTGGAGGACCCTCGCCTAAAACGTGAAAATTAAATTAGCTCATGAATCATGACAATTCTGTCAATTTTAATTTGATGGAATATTAAGGTACCACAGAAATTCACAGCAAAAAGACAATGAAGTACTACTAGTGGAGCATAGGGTAATAAAGTATGTAGATATTTACAATTCCATAAATAAAATTCTAATAACCACTATTTTTTTCCATTTCCCATTGGGTCATTATCAACACATGAAAAGTGGATAAATAGTTACAAGTAAATTAAGTGTGTGTTCAAATATATTTTTGAATTTTTTAAAAAATATTTCTTTCTAAAAAAAAGAGAATGGATTTTTCAATATAAGAAAAAAAAAAATAATTAACAAATGACATTCTACCCAACTTCCTAATCCTCCAATCATTTTCACCTTCACTTTCATAATATTTTTGCTTACGTACTGAACACAAAATAATATATTAAAATATTTCACTTATTTTCATGAAAAACATTTAAAAGAAAATTAAAACTATTTGTTCCAATTAACAAGTGCAATTTGGAAAACAAAATCTGGTGGGAGGACCCACTTTTTCAACTGGATTTTGGACCCACTACATGTGACCCATGTGTGGTAATTGTTTTTTTAAAAAAATATTATAATTTTAAAGAATTTTAATTTTTATTCACCAATTTTTGAGAAGTTCCAATAAGTCTTGATTCAATGTTTTCACAAAACACAATATGTTAATGTTAGTCATGTGTATTGATGTTCCATTTTGTTGTCTTTTTCCTAAATATAAATCACAATTAAACATTTTTATTGCAACATGGAAGAATTTTGTTTGCTCAATAATTCTATTTAAATAATTATTATTCTTCTATAGTGTGCATTTGATTGGTCAACTTCTGTTTCCAACAGTTTTAATATTGGATTATTTGATTTTCATGTTTGTTGAATATAATTTACAATGAAATCAATTGATAGAAAAGAACAAAAAGTGATTAGGTAAATCTCCTAGTTTGCCAGAGTGGAAGCAAATGGTAATATTCTTTGCCTACTATTTAATAGCCTGACATTGCCAACTACAACTAACTATATTTCTAATTTATAAAATTTATCACCAAATGTATCATACTAGAAACTAAAGAAAAAAGGAACATAATTTATTTTTTTACTAAATTTAGATGAGTGATTAATGGACATTTATACTAATAAATTTCCAAGCTGCCTGATCGAGCGTTTTTTTATGGTAATAAACAAAGCAATTTGTTGAAGTCAAAGGAGCATTATTTCGTGAAATTGAAAGTGAAAGTGTCAATTTGAGTAACTTAAAATCAACAATCTCTTAATCAATGATCTTAAGAAACTATTCATGTGTTTTATTGAATAGAAATAAGAAATATCATTAGTTAATAATTTTATCCATGGTCATTTTTTTTTTGTTAACGAAGCCATTCAATTTCTTGCTAATTACTTTGGTACTTAATATAATCATTATTTTGATGTTAGTACATATGAAATTTCGTGAATAAATCTTATTTGGTGCGTCACAAGATCTCAATGAAAGACATGGATACCCTACAATAGGGCCCTAGGTCAACTAGTTTAATATCATGTGAATTGTATGATTTTTAATGAGTTAATTGCATTAGCAGACTCTTGTTTATGTTTATTTGTCTATTGTTTTAAAAATAGATGTTTATTTTTATTTGTCTATTGTATTAAAAATAGATGTTTATTTTTATTTGTTCAGATTAGAAAATTAAGAAATAATTTATCATAGTTAAATAGTGATATATATATATATATAGTAAAATTAATTCTATTTATTGGTTCTTATATCAAGTCAATAATGAACAAGTAAAAGTAGACCAGAGAAAGTATTTGTGGCTGCTATGTTAAGTATGCAAGGTACCAAAACACTGCTTATGGAAAATTAAAATAATTCTCTTATGATTTCCTCTTTTTCTGTTTATCAATAGGAAAACAATAGTACTACTACTAATAATTAATACAAAAAGTAAAAGAGAAAGAAAAAAAGAAAAAAAGAATATATGTTTACAAAATAAGCAAAGCAAATAGCCACATGGTTAACAAAACAAGTGAACTGTAGATACCCTTGTGGCAATAAGGTCCCATTCTTCTTTATTTCCTTTTCCTCTCCTTTCCTTTATTTAAACCAACACAAACACAACCATTTGTATTATTATTATTATTATTATTAAGATTGTACATCACTAGAAAGAAAAATAAAATCACAATGGAAGATCATAATGAATTCTCCATCTCTAGTTCTACTACAACTTCATCATTTACAAGTTGTTGTTCTAATAACAATTGTTTAAGTTCTACTTCAACTTCTTCTACTTCATCTAATTGTTTCCATGAGAGCATTGCAAAAACCTCATCAAATGATCATTCCAAGAAAAGTTCAAAAAAAATTCAAGATGGGAATAAAACGAAAATCAGACGAAAAAATGAAGGTGGTGTTGATGAAAAGCATCCGACTTATAGAGGAGTTCGTAAGAGGAATTGGGGAAAATGGGTGTCTGAAATTAGACAACCAAGAAAAAAATCAAGAATTTGGCTAGGGACTTATCCCACTGCTGAAATGGCAGCTCGAGCTCATGATGTTGCGGCTTTAGCCATCAAGGGGGATTCGGCTTACCTTAATTTCCCTCATTTAGCCGATCAACTCCCTCGACCCGCTTCCACTTCCCCTAAAGACATCCAAGCCGCAGCCGCCAAAGCTGCAGCCGCCAGCACATTTCTAGAGGAGAATAGCCAATTAACCGACCTGCATAGCTCGCATTCCTCGACTAATTTAGCCTCGCAAGAATTACTGAATTCTCCATCAATGGATCACGATGACCCGTTTTTCGATCTACCGGATCTTACCATCAATAGAGTGGACCAAAATGACCGGTACCAATACCCGATTTCGACGTGGCAGCTGGCTGGAGCCGATAGCGGGATGTTTCGGCTTGATGAGCCGTTTTTGTGGGAGTGCAATTAGAAGAAAATTACAAGTGTACATGTTTCTTTTTCTTTTCTTCTTTTACACTGACAAAAAAAGTCATAAAACATCCATCGTCTGTGTAATTTCTCAACGTATCATAATTGCAAAGCTCAGAATGTTCATATCATACACATAATTCGAGTTTGCACTATTTTCATCATTCACCCCTAAACTCTCGGGTGTTTTTAATCCTATCAATAGTTCAAAAACAAAATAAATAATTTATAGAGTTATTTTCAATACTTCTCTCTTCTGTTTTTGCAGCTTCAAGAAGATAATCGCATTTACAATACCTTTTCCCCATACTTTTGATATAATCATAAGGTATTTGGTGTTGCTGACTCGACTAATTCAGATGACAAAACTTCCACCTTACGTGGTGGAGTAAAAATATAAAAGTAACTGACAGTCTGTTGTTGATTTTTGTATGCTGTTGTGTGTAGATTTTTATTACTTATTTTTAAAAAAGAAGAAGAAATACTATCTTTTTTTTTACAATAAGATCCAATGCAAGATTTTGTCTTTTTTCCTTTGGAGGATTTTAAGGGGGCAAAGTCATTTTCCTAAGAAATTACTCATATTATTGTTGTGTTAGCTATATAAAAGTAGATGTCTATTTTTCACTTTGATTTTTATATATTATATTCTTTTTATTGATGCTTTAATTATTTTCATTATTTCTCAATATTCGATGACGTATGATAATCATGAATGATATAATAGGATTATTGCCTTATTTATTATTTCCTTTGTCCCTAATTAGTTGTCCACTTTTGAATTGACACACCTATTAAGAAAAAAATTATTGACAAAGTGAGTTTACCATTTTACCCCTATTAATTATGAAGTGAATGGGTTAAAAGTTTAAGATTTTCAAGAAAAACTACTTTTTTTCAAAGTAATTAATTGAGGGTATAATAGGTAAAAAATATTTGTCCTTTCTTGATTTGTCGAAATGGATAAGTAATTAGGAACAACTAAAAAAGAAAAAATGAACAAGTAATTAAGGATAAAAGGAGTATATTTTAAAAATGTGTCAAATCAAATACGAATAAATAAACATGAATGGAGAGAGTATTATGTATTTGTAGTTGGTTTCTGTTAGTGTAGGGGCATTTTAATATTAAAAGAAATATTGCATTTTTTGCATTGCCACACTGACCGTTTGCATTATTGCATTAGAATAATGCATTGGTTGACTTTGCATTTGTTGCTGCCATTTGGACCATTAAATTGGTGCATTACTCCATAAGAGTAATTATGGATGGCAATGGGGCATTGCGGGGTGGGGCGGAGTGGGTTAAGCTTAATTCGTAAAAAAATTAATTTATTTCACATAATAATTTCTTTTTATTTTCAACACGCCCTGCATAATTTTTTAAATATTTTTTTTCTAAATAAGTTTGATACTAAAAATAAAATTCACAAAAATAAATTCATTTTTCATTAAGTTGTATTAATTTAGTAATTAGTAGGATAGTGACTTAAAATTTTATTTTTTAGAGGTCAATTGGGAAACATGTAAGAAATTGTATTATTTTTTATTGAGTCATTTTCATTTACTATCTTGACTATTTTAGTACTTTAAAGAATTTATTTCCTATCACTTTTATAACATATAAAAAGTTAAAATTAAGTTTGAACCCACATAAAATCACATATACCCGCAACCCGCCCCGTCCTGCATTAATTGCATATGTTACTGATTCCTTGGTGCAACTGCAGCAGGTGCAAGGCGTTGGTGGTTGTTAGCCTCTTATCCCATTTACTTCTTACTCTTTATTCCTCCATTATACCTTGTAACATATGTAACTCCTAAGACCATTATCTTCACTATTTACAACACACCATTTATCTTCCTATTCATTGCTAGGAAGACTTCTTCTAGTATAAATAGTGATGGTCTTCATTTGGTTTGAAACACACAATATATATAAGAAAAATATAGAGTGCATAAATGTTTGTCAAAAAGAGAGTTCTTATTAGTTGAAGGGAGGTGTTCTTGTTGTGGAGCTTTGGACTCAAATCTTGTCCAGAGTTATATATTGTGATTAGACTGTTGTATCCTGAAGGGGACAAGTCAAGAAAAACTATTGTTGGATCGGTGAAAACATTTGATGCAGTGGACTTGAATCTCCTTAAAGAGAGCGAGATATCCGCGCCTCAGCCTAAAGAGATTTATTTTCTTGATTTTATTTTCAATTGTAATCTTGTATTTTTGTTATCTTGTAAGTTTTCACTAACAATTTTAAGGAGATTCAGAATGACTACAATTGAAAAAACCACGGATGTCAAGATGGGAGACCTTAACAAGCCATTTCGGTTCAGTGGTAACCATTTCAAGAGATGGAAGGGTAAAGTATTTTTCTACTTAAGTCTTCTCAATGTTTCTTATGTGTTAACTGAGAAGAATCCTAATAAAGTTGATGATACCTCCATGGATGATGATGAACTTATTACTCATCATGAGAAAGTGGAAAAGTACGATGGTGAAGAGGCAAGGGGCCAAGATGCACTTTTACAAACAGAAGAGAGCAACGTCACAACGAAGGTAAATTTAATTACTTCAAATAATACTACTCTTGAAACTCACAAAAATACTTCTTTGAAGCCTAAGAAGAAAAAATTTAAGAAAAATAATAGTAGACCTCCCAAGAAAAATAATGGTGAAAATATCCAAGCACAAAATCAACAGTTCAAGACAAGGGACCATGCTTTGTTTGTGACAAGAGTGGGAATATTGCTCGATTTTGCAGATTTCGGAAATGTGGTCCTAACCCTCAGGCAAACGTTACCGAAGAACCTTTTGTGGCGGTGATTACCAACATAAACATGGTTGAGAATGTTGATGGATGGTGGACAGATTCTGCTGCAAATCGTCATGTCTGTTATGACAAAAACTGGTATAAGAAATATACTCATTTTGAGGAGCCCAAAATCATCATGCTTGGTGATGCTCACACTACTCAAGTGCTTGGAAAGGGAGATGTCGAATTGTGTTTTACTTCTGGAAGGGTATTAACTTTGAAAGATGTACTTTATACTCCTTCTATGAGGAAAAATTTGATGTCTAGTTTTCTTCTTAATAAAGTAGGCTTTAAACAGATTATTGAATCTGATCAATATGTAATAGTGAAGAAGGGTATTTTTGTGGGAAAGGGGTATGCATGTGATGGGATGTTCAAACTGAATGTTGAAATGAATAAAGTTTCTACTTCTGTTTATATGCTTTTCTTCTACAAATTTTTGGCATGCTCGTTTGTGTCATATTAATGATCGTTATGTTGGAATCATGAGTAGTTTAGGATTAATCCTAATGATTAAAAAGAATTTTGAAAAGTGTGAGGCTTGTAGTAAAGCCAAAATCACTAAAAGGCCTCATTTTCAAGTTGAAAGAAAAACCAATTTGTTAGAATTAGTTCATATTGATATTTGTGAACTTGGTGAAATTTTAACTCGTGGAGGTAATAAATATTTTATCACTTTCATTGATGATTTTTCTAAGTTTGCATATGTTTACTTGATGAAAAATAAAAGTGATGCTTTTGAAAATTTCAAAACTTATCTCCATGAGGTTGAAAATCAGTTTGGAAGAAAACTAAAAAGAATTAGAAGTGATAGAGGCCGTGAATATGAGTCAAATGAGTTTAATTCTTTTGTTAGATCATTGAGAATAATTCATGAAACTACTCCTCCTTACTCTTCTTCATCTAATGGAGTAGCGGAAAGGAAAAAATAGAACTTTGGTTGAATTGACTAATGTCATGCTTATTGAGTCACATGCACCTTTAAATTTTTGGGGTGAAGCTATTTTAATTGCTTGTTATGTGTTGAATCGTATGCCTCATAAAAAGTCTAAACTGACACCTTTTGAATTGTGGAAAGGTTACAATCCAAGTTTATGATATCTAAGAGTTTGGGGTTGTCTAGCCTTTGTGAGGCTAATGGATCTAAGATTACAAAGTTAGGTAAGAAAGTTACTACTTGTACTTTTCTTGGTTATTCTTCAAATAGCCTATAGATTTTTTAGTCTTGAAGATAATATTGTGATAGAATCAGGTAATGCTATTTTTTATGAAAATAGGTTTCCTTTTGATTTTAAAAATAGTGGGGGTCAAAAGATTGAACAAAATATTTTGTCACTACCTAATTCTTTTTTTTAAAAATGCAATATTTCTTTTAATATTAAAATGCCCTACACTAACATCAGTTGAAGGAAGACTACTATGCATAATGAATGTGTGCTCTGCATTGAACCTCCAATTAGTGAAACAGTAATGTTTACTCCAGAGTTGTAGTGGTCTCAGACTTGAACTATGACTGCTTAAGGGAAAGAAAATATCACTGCTCACACATAATAATCAAGGTGTTGACATTAGCTTTAAAAGCCAGCACGTTATGGTCATGTGCTATCCCGGTTTCATGAGTGCTTTTGAGAATAAGCCAAATTCTCATAGGAAACGACTTACTTCCACACTCACATAAGTGAAATCTGTCGAGAGTGCTCATGTAAGCTTAAAACTCCACCCATGCGGGCTACAGATATTCATTAAGAGTTTTATCAACTCAACCTTCACAAACTACAAGAAACAATGCACTCACATCATAGGGAGGGAATAAAAAGATAGTGCATTTTTCACAACAAGTCATCATATGATTAGTTTTTCCCTTTGAACCTGGTTATAGGATCTCTAGTCCCCAGGTTGGGTTTCCTCATATATGACTCAAGGATTTATAGGCTTCAATCCCATCCCCCTCGATGTGCTCCATACCTTTTCTCTTGTTAAGGCCTTAGTATGAGGATCTGCAAGATTATCACAAGATTTGACATAATCAACATTGATGGTACCATTTGTCAAATACGATCTTACATTACTGTGTTTCCTTCTTATATGTCTGAATTTATCGTTGTAGTAACGATTTTGAACTCTACCAATCGCAGCGGTGCTATCACAATGAATTAAAATATGAGGAATTGGTTTTTTCAAAATAAGGTATTTCAAATAACAAATTTCTTAACCAATTCGCTTTCTCACTAGCTGAAGCTAAAGCAATTAGTTCAGTCTCCATGGTAGAGTTAGCAATAATAGTTTACTTTTTTGATCTCTAACAAACAGCACCACCACC